CCCGCTTAAGGTCCATAAATTAGAAGCCATTGCTTTGACTGATGGAAGATATTATGTAGAAGATAAATGTATGAATGAATTTAAGTCAGGTTTGGCTTTGCTTTTACATGAAGAGAAAGATTTGACACATTTCAATATGATAAATGGGTCAAAGACACTGTTTCTTTTGTGATTACAAAATTTGTCAGAAAATAAACAAAAAGTTGAATTGAAATGGCAAATCTTATCGACTCCAAGACATGTTTTTATTTAGTCTAAGATTTTGATTCTTGACGGTGTGATTCATGCACTTTTTCTATGCATGTGAGAAGAAAATTATGATTGACCAAGTAATTTTAATTCTTCTTTTTCTTGTGTGCCTTGGGAAATTTTTGATTGCTGGGATAAACTGAAGAATAAGAAGAGTTTTCATTTTCTTTGAAGATTAAATATTTAACATTTCACCTCGTTGGTTTCGGATTTCGATTTAAAAAAAAAAAAGAGGAATTCACCAACACAATTCTAAAAAAAACCACTTTTGTTTGTCGTTCCAAATGGAGTTTAAAATTAATAATTCTCCACATATACTATATTTTATCCAAGTACAATAAATGTAATCTAATAATTGGTTGAATTATTGAGATAGGGTTACTACTACTCGTACTATATAGGGAGGGGGGTCTCTCACCTTATAAAAAAGTGGTCGTTGATTATTTTCATTTCTTTTTTTTTCTTCGCCTCTCCGACACGTTTGACCCAGCGGCCCGTTTTCAGCCTGCGGTCTCCTTGGTAATATTCTTTTTTGTATACATACTTTATTGAAAAGACATAATTACCCTCACTACCTTTTCTCTCAACTCCCAACGTTTCTTAAAAAATCTCAAACACTAGCTTATTTTATACTACTTCTTTGATTAGTTTATCAGATACTCATATTTTTAAATCAGAAAATGGTTTTGATTCTAATGAATCTTGAGTAGTATAAGCTCCTTTTGCACTAAATGTTTCTTCTTTTGCTAAAAAAAAAAATGAAGGAAAATGTTTCAACCACTGCTGAAACGCTGGTCCCGCACATGGATAAAAAATCTTGATTTATATAAAAAAAAAAGAAGACGAAGGAAACATAATGATATGATATCATGATTTTTATTAATCGCATTAAGATAATGGTTTTTTTTTTTTTGGTTTTGAAAAAGTCATTAAGATAATGGGTTCTATGTGTATTTTCCCATAATCCTTTATCTCTTTGAATGGTCAAAACTCAAAAAGAGGAAAGACCAAACCCAATGTAAATTTTAATAATCTTTCTTTACTAACTTCCAAGACTCCATAATTTATTCATTATCCCTTGAAGTTGAAGAACTATCCACACCATTTGCCTATTATTTAATCCAATCCAGTTCAGTCCAATGTCGTATCGGTAGTTTAATTTTAATTTATTTTACAGTTATATAAACCCTATAGTATTATTAATTAATCTGTCTCCAACGCATTATAGCATAAGCTTTTCACGAGAAGCCAGCTATTATAGAGATTAGATTAGAGAGGTTCCATCCTACACACAAAAGAAGTATAATAACAAAAATAAAAATTTCAGAATTCGTCGTCTCACCCAAAAATTAAAAATAAAGTTAAGAGAGAGAAAGCAAAAGAAAGAGCGAGAAGATTCATCATCAATACCACAATCCTTAATCGTACGGA